CGGGAGCTCTGGGAAGTACCTCGGCTTAGCTGAGTGCTTGGGCTTTTGGGTAGTGGGGTTAGGGTCTAGGGGTTAGGGGTTAGGGGTTTTAGGAGTTTAGGGTTTTAGGGGTTTAGGGTTTTAGAGCTTGGGGTTTTAGAGTTTTAGGGTTTAGGGGTTTAGAGTTTAGAGGTTTAGGGTCTCAGGATTTGTGGTTCAGGGGTTGAGGTTTTGGGGTTTTAGGGGTTTAGGGTTTAGGAATTGTACCCAGAGGGTCCAAGAACCCAATAACTAGATATACGGGTTGGGTAATAGTAGGAGTTGTGGCGTAGTCTTTGGGGAAATCTATTATGGCTCTTGGGGCATTTCGACTCTTAGGGCATTTGGGGGAGGTTTTGAAGGTGTAGGGTCTAGGGTGTCTAGAGCTTCGAGGGTTCTGATTTTGGCATTGAAGGTACTTGGGTTTACCCCACTGTGTCTACTGGCTCTAAAGCAAGAAAATCTTTCAAGTCTTAGGGGAAGATGCCTTGAAGTTAAAAGTACTCAGAAATCATATGAGCTATGGTCTAAATTCCTAGTATCCCCCTTAATACGCCCTATGGTAGTCCCCTATATAGCCCCCTATATAACCCTCCTTTTAAGGAGTTTAGACTATAGCTCACATGCTTCCCCCAAACCTGTACAACGAATTCTGTAGTACCACTTCCCCGAAAACATGTACTAGAAACTCTCCTACCACAATTTCCAGCACTCCATCTTTGGGAGTATGGCTACACTGACATCCCATCACGCTTCCTTTTTGAGGCACAGGACAGGCCATGTCCTCCCACGGTCCTTTCGGATTAGGGTCTAGGGTTGAAGGGTTTAGACTTTAGGGGTTTAGGGTGGGAGGGGGCCACCTTAAGAAAAAAAATGACGATTCTGTAACCGTGCTAGAGGAAGAAGTTTGGGATCTCCGCAAAAAGGCAACCCATTAGGTGGTAGATTCCATGAATAAGGGGACCCCAATATACACCCTAAGATACTACAAGCCCCCTTCTAGGGAGCCCCTGAGTTCTACCCCTAACTTATGGAAACTACTAAGCCATCCCTGTGTCCATGTCATTTCCTATTTGCCTTTCCATTAGATTATCCATTATTGGGGGTAATATCTCGGCGAGATGCTCGTGGCGATGGTCCATACCCCTGTTGAAAACCCACAACTTCGCAATCAACCCTAAGCCCGAAATATGTTGGCAGTATGCACTTCATCTGCCATTCCTGTCTATACCCTATATATACATGTACCCTGAACCCTACACCTACTGCCCCGATGATCCCTCAACCCTAAACCCTAAAACTTAGACTCTAAACCCTACACCCTAACACCTAAACCCCTGAACACTAAACCCAACCTGGGAACGGCAGACGCTGCTCTGGGGACTGCTATGGGGATGAACGTAGGGGTGATAGCAATTTTTGCGTACTTGGACCCCTGGGGTATCTGGCCTTTAGTTAGCTGGGAGTGCTGGAATGGAAAAGAAAATGGAAACTACTATAATGGGTTATGCAAGGATCCACTCCCTCATTCCTAGCTACCCAAAGGTAAGGTATAGGAGCTACTAGGCGATTCGCTTCCCCCAAGCCCGACTAGGTGTGAGTATATTCCCCCTTAGGTAGATAGAATATGGCTTCGGGTACATTATAATAACGTCCCCATATACCCCATATTCTATCTACTTAAGTGGGACCCTAAACCCTAAACCCCATATTCTATCCACTTAAGGACCCTAAACCCTAAACCCTAGTCCCTAAACCCTAAACCTTAAATCCCATATTCTATCTACTAAGGGGGACTATGGGTATCAGGCATCCCGTGTCTGGACGAGGGACCAAAGCGATCCAGCGAATCCGCTAGAGACTGCGGATGCTTGCCGGTGACAGCAGATGCACCAACATCTGCCTTAGTGTGAGCTATTGACTAAACTCCTCGTATCCCCCCTTAATAACCCCTGTACTACTCCCCTATAAAAACCCTTTACAGCCCCCTTTAGGGAGTTTAGACTATAGCTCATGTGTAAGTGGTGTTTTTTGTCTGGCTTGCAGGGTAAAATGCAATGCAAACATTGGGATCTGTGGAGGTCTGCTGAGAAAGACAGCAAGGATCGCGTGTCCACCTTAAACCCAAAACCCCAAACCCTAAGCCCTAAACCCTAAACCCACTCTGCTTTTGTAGCAAAGCGGCTTGAAGTCGCATTGAGAACAAGACAGGGCATCTTTGTTTGCAAGGTCTGTTGGTCGGAGGGGTCCCTTTTTTTGCTCGAAGCTATCCCGTGATGATCTGTACGTATGTACACATGCATACGCAACAAATGTACCTTTCATTCGAAAAAACAATAGAAAGTCGGACAGGCTCAACTTCATTACCGCGTTCAGACATCCTTTAAACCACCTGTAGGCCTTCAACCTTTTTCAAACACCCGTCATGAAAAAAAAAAACATAGGACTTGGAAGCGCAAGAATCGGAGCCTGATTGTGGAACCTACCCAGGAAGACATCACGTAGCCAGCCTTTTTGCCTCGTAGCTAGGCCATTCCCTACAAATCCTACTGGTATCAGCGCGCCTCAACACCCAAAGACCCGCCCACTTTCAGGGTTCTAAGCTCTAGGCCTCCTTACCCTAGGGCTCCAAATGGCCCAATGTAGGTACTATGCATAGACATTGGAACCCAAGGTAGGTGTTATGTAAAGACATGGGCAATTCCCAAAAGCAGGGTTCCGGTTTGCTACCCCTGACTATTTGGCGTCGTAATATCGTCTAAAACCAAAGGGAACCCATAATTTTGAGAACAGCCCACATGCCCTAAGGGATAATCATATACCTACCCAAAACCTGTACTACAATTATTACTACCCAAAACCCAAGTACCTAATTATTGGGTACATGGACTCTTAGGGATGGAGCTCCAGGGTGATGAGACATCAAAGAAACCCGAGCAGAGATCAGAGTTGGAGCCATGGCACGAAGCGAAAGGAGCCAGGCAGCAGGGCCATGGCTCCGAGTCTCAGAGTTTGGGATCTTTTTACGGTTGAGGGAGGAGAGGTTCATTGTTCCGTTCTCAAAGGAAGGGTGTGGGCTTGGTGGTTGAGTTGCGGGCTTAGGGGTTGGTTGAAAGTATAGTGGTTGCAGGTTTCGGCAGGCGAGGATAAGTTTAAAAAGGTGTCGGGAATATGGCCTATGGGCTTTTTGCATGGCTGTGCGATCAATTTGTTTCTATACGGAATGCATATTGTGCTGCCTCAAGCCTTGGCTGCAGTGCATTCTGAGCGGTCGAAAGTCTGAATTGGAATTACATCCAATGCAAAGCGTGCCCGTTGAAGCGAACCCTTGCTGCTTACAATCCTCAAACCCTTAGATCAGCGCAAGCAAAACCAAAAACTTCTTGTACCAACGCGGGGCAGCTGCCTCACAAAGACCCACTACCCTAAGGGTCCAAGTACCTAATAGTCATTTACTTACCCAAAACCTGCACTACAATTATTACTACCCCAAACCCAAGTACCTAATTATTAGGTACTTGGACCCATAGGGCTACCCCACGTTGGAAGTGCTTGCCAGGATGGCTGTTGGCAGAAAGCTAGAGGTTTGATGCTGTCCACACCATACAACTGTCTTCTATAGAACGATAGACCTGAGACCACAGTATTCGGGGACTGTTACGGGGTGGTGGCAATATCCCATGTAGCCCTGGCCCAGGTCCTACATAAATAGCAGGTGGAGCTGCAGGCAATAATTGCATATTCCCGGCTGCTGACCCAGGTAAAAGCATTACCCTCCCTCAAACGAACATGCAACCCCACAGGGGGCCCTAGATGTGGACTACTATTTCTTGCTGCAAACGTGCTTTGAGGGGATCATGGTAGTTTCGCGGGGAAGGTACACTGGGAAACCCTCCACCACCAAAAACATCCAGTGCTAAGCTGGGCTGCTAAGCCTGACAGTCCTGCAAGCCTCCGCACTACAACCCCTTGCCTCCCTGTGCAATCTGAAGCCATCCATGACTACCCCTTAGGCTCCAGGAACTCAAATAGTGGGGCCTCAGGGCCCACATGCTATAATCTGGATGGTATTTGAATCTCAAAGTCCTAATATTTAGGTCCTTGGACCCTTAGGGTACTGTAATTTTGTGGCTGTGTCCGAAGACGTCGTGAGAAAGGCTTTAAACAACCCCTACAGCGCGAAACACTCACGAGCCCGCTGGAACCACCTCATCACCACAAACGCAGAGCTACAACCCCCTGAACTCCTCCACACTCCTCACCCTGATCTCCAAAGTCTGAACCCTGAACCTGCACCCTGAAACCTAAACTCTCTCTAAACCCTGAATCTGAAATCTCAAGCCCTGATCCCAATGTCTTAAACCCAAAACCCTGTAGACTCTACATAACCCCAAAATCTGATCCCCTACCCTGGGGGTCCAATTACCCAATAAACCAAATAGTTGACGACATGTTTTTGCAGCTACTCGGAGTGAAATCCCTGGTACCCAATTATTGGGTACTGGACCTTGATTTAGAACAGTATGGCACATATCCTTATACACCCATTGTCACCCATTTAGAGGGACCCTTTGTGGGCCCTTCAACGCTTAGGGTTGAACTTAGGAGCAGCCTTGAACCCACCAAGGTGTCCAGGTGGTAATTGTTCAAGAGAACTAACAGTCCCCAACTTGGCCATAACCCTGAAATACATACCATAACTGTATGAAAACCCTACAAAACCTCGAAGATACCTATGTCAAAAAGCGCAGGCTCCATGACAAACCCTTCTGTAACCCTGAGAGTCCAAGGACCCAAATAATAGGGTTTTTATGGCCTAAATACAATTGATAACATCGTATTTCGGCCCTAGAACCCATTTATTCGGACCCTTAGGGTGAGCTAGTTCGCATTTTGTAGGATCTCCCGTTAACTACGTGTTTGCCGTGGTCCCCCTGGAAGGGATTTACCCTAAACCCTAAACCGAACAACCCCCATGTCTCCTCGAGCCAACGAAGCTGACGCCAGAGCCCACGGCCTCCAGCACCCCTTATATAGGGGTTATATAGAGTGATATAAGGTTATATGGGGGTTATATAGGGATTATATAGAGTAATATAAGGGTTATATGGGGTTCTTTAGGGATGAAATAGGGTAATATTAGGGATTATATGGGGCAATATAGGGATTATATGGAGTAATATAAGGGTTATATGGGGTTATATAGGGTTATATAGGGATGAAATAAAGTAATATTAGGGTTATATGGGGTTATATAGGGATTATATAGGGTAATATGGGGAGTATATGGGGTTATATACATATAGGGATTATGTAGGGTAATATTGGGATTATAGATTCAAAGCAGGGTTTAGGGTATAGGGTTGGAAGTGGGTTTAGGGTCTAGGCCTTAGGGGTCAGGATGGTGTTGATCTGAATTTCTTCATCCCCGTGATGACCGTCTTCGCGAGAAAACCACAATTTCGTGGACCCATCGCCGCACATGTTTCTGCTACCTCCTTGAGCAGTCCCCAGCCAATCGGAACCTTCGCACGGGAATTACAAAACCTATATTCCCTTGTCCATCTCATTTTCTATGTGAGTTTCAGATTTTCCTCTTGATTCTTTAAACCCCCCAAGACATGTACAATCAGTTAACCCTTCAAATGGACCCTGAAATCCCTAAAGTGGGTCCTATAGCATCCCATTCTGTGAGCCCTCGAAAAATTGAAGCCAGGCCTGGGCGAACCGTCGGCCTTGCTGCGCACACGAGCCTCCAAGGCTCTGAAGCGAAACTCTGGCACTTAAGGAACTAAAAATCATGATCACAGCATGGAAACCTAGGAAATAATACGGTTTCCTTTTTTAATGGCAGCTTGATCTAAGTTCCTTAACCACAACCCAGAACTTGCTAGGGATCCGGGTGCGGTTCAGCAGCTTACGGTCGATAGATTGGTAGTTTCTCAAATTTAGGGACCCCAATATAAACCCAACATACTACAATCCTTATTATGGGACCCCCAAACAGGTACCCCAATTTTGGGAAACTACCATTCGGCATTGTACTCTTTGGGTCGGGGATGTCTCTGGGTTGAGATGTGCGAGCCCCATCTGGCACTGCAACTAGCATTACGATCAAAAATACTAGCTTGAATAGTGGTATTACTAGCAGTAATAATAGGAATAGTAGCAGCAGTAGTCGTCGTCGTGGTGGTGGCGG